GATGCATGACACGTGGGATCAAGTTTCATTAGTCCGCTTGTTTGTTGTACAGCCTGACAGCAGCAGGAAGGAAAGACCTGCGGAACCTCTCCTTCACACATTGAGTTTTAACTGGAGTAGGCAACTTCCAATACAGAGTTTAGCTGCATACTGTAAGAGAAATACTGCCTCCCCATTGTTACTCTGGGCTCTGAACACCAGCGGGAAGAAAGCAAATGGGATTTTACCAAACATTATTGAGGTGTGACTTGAACTTGAATACAAAAGGAAAATAGTGAAAGTTCATCTGGTTAGAATGTTTTATTATTTGTTTTATAACAAAAAATGTAATTGTTGTTTAATATAAGAGGCAAATACCAAATACATATAAATAAGGATATTTATTAACAATAATCAGTTACATGATACATTATTTTCCTCAATTGCACGGGTATAATTTGGACTGAATTGGATTTCTGAATTTGGACACTAAAACTGAAAAGTGTGATTGAAAGTGGAGACAACGAAGAATTCACGGCTCGACACAAGAAATGCATCCTGAAGAAATCAACACAAAGAGTGAGAGACTGTTTTCAAGGCAACATCTGAGAACCACCCAATCGACTGATGAAGTTTAGTATTTGACTGAAGATTGTTGATGTCTTTTTTTATGTATTGAGTTCTGAGTTTTTGAAGTATCCTGAAGTATAACAAGTTCATGAGTTCTTTAGTGTAAAGTATCCATCGGTGATGAAAAGATAAAGAACATGTCCACAGCTGGAGGAAAAAGAAGAGATCTGTGGGCCATTTTTACGCTTGACAAAGAAGAAAACAAGACCAAATGTAAAGTAGTGATGCAATATGAAGCCCTGTGATTCAATGAGACGCTAATGCTCTTATGCCATCGTGTGGACAAACAAATTATAAAATTCTTAAGTGCATACAATAAATGGTGCGTCTGAGACATCTACAGAATACCCACTCCTTGGACTTTATTAGGCCTGAGCCCCGAACGGGGTATTGCTTTCACAATGGTGAATGCAAGTGGTGGCGGTCCGTGACGGACGCGTCACTCACCACAACGTGACGGTTGTCACGTTGTGGCAACCTATATTGTTTTTGCTCAAAACGTCGAAAAAAAATTCCTTGGTTTGGTTTCTTTTTTCTTCTGCACTTTGAGCCTTAATCTGACCCCCTGAACATGCATGAAAAGTAAATTTTGCCCAAAAATCAGACCTGGCAAAAAATGTGATATTTTGGTGCATTTTTTGGCCGTTTTTGACAGTATTAAATTTGCTCCCGTTTGCACATACAAAGTCCGATTTACACAAAACTTTAATACATTGTTCAACTCTAGGGTCTAGGTCATTTGAAAGTGAAATGATTCAAATTGACACATTAGCGCCCCCTACAGACTATTTCAAAGTTTTAAATGGGCATTTTCAAATTTAGTTTGTTCAAAATGTTTGAAATTTTGCACACATCTGTTTTGCCCTCTTGATTCAAAAAGTCAACAGGGCCCAAGGCTTATTTTTTACCCTGTTGCCGTGGCGCTGATAAACTCTCCCCATCCATTGTCTATGGAAAATGTACACCTCGCACAAACACCAAACCAGCCTCGGCCGTTTCACAGATTTGGCCGAAAATCACTCCACATCATCTCAACACATGTAACATCTAAGTGACTTCAGGGAATTTTGATCAGTGAAACGTTGTTTGAGCAGCGGAGTGGCAAAATGTGACCTTTTTTTCCCATTTTGACGATAGAAACGTAGCTCCCTTTGCAAAAACCAAGTCCAAATTGCACCAAATTTGAATCGGTTGTTCAACTTTTGGGTTTGGGTAACTGAAAGTGTAAAACATTAAATTGCAGCATTAGCGCCCTCTACAGACTGAGTCAAGTTTTACTTGGGTGAGAATGGGATTTACTAAGCCTGATTTTCACTAAACTTGACTTGGTCCCCTGAAAGTGGGAACAATGTCATTGTCCCATTAGCGCCCCCTACAGGCTGAGTAAAACTTATACATAGGGAACACAGCACATTTTGTTTTTCTGTTGTTTGCTCTCATTTTTGACCCACTGAACATGCATGAAAACTCACCATATTCTTTTTTTTTTTTTTTTTTTCTGGCAACAAATGAATTATTTTGATGTCTTTGGTATAAGACAAAAAAATATATATTCATAGGGGGCGCTATTATTGAAAGTAAATGACCAATGTTTGCACATGCAAAGTCTGATTTGCTCAAAATTTGATTTGATAGTTCAACTCGAGTTTGGGTAAACTGAAAGTGTAAAACATGAAATTGCTGCATAAGCGCCCCCTGTAGACTGAGTCCAGTGTTACATGGGGAGAATAAGGTTTAGTTTTTCAATAGAGACACACAATCATTGATCATAGACATTCAAAATGCACAGTGTCGCTCCCATCAGGGCTTTAGGAAGATGGTACGTCACATGGTCATCCAATGGAGACAGTATATATATGGAGACACTCACAGATTGTATGTGTAAACAGAAAACGTATGAAGTCTGATTTGTAACCCGAAACTCACGCATACGGCGGCTAGCGCGGTTTGGGGAGTCCCGCACTACGGGGAGTCTTGCGGTGTGGCGAGGGCCGTTCGATGCCGCTTGCGGCTTTAATTTTGATTTATTGTTCCAAATGATATCATATAAATACAAGATTGTTCCAATGTACTTCCAGCTTCACCGTGGATTATTAAATCAACCACAACAAACTTAGAAGTAGTAGTTAGTAAGTCATCTTTATTTATATAGACCTATTTGACATATTTTTTTGTTGTAGGGGAAACCGGAGCACCCGGAGGAAACCTACGCAGACACGGGGAGAACATGCAAACTCCACACAGAAAGGCCTGGAGATGGAATAGATCCCAGGACCTTCTTGCTGTGAGGCACAAGCTCTAACCGCTGCACCACCGTGTCGCCCATAAGTCATGGAGAGTTAGAGACCAGTGGCTCTGCCCCTCACATGAACAGGAACAGCAGCAGGAACAACATCAGCAGTAACAACATCAGCAGTAAAAACATCAGCAGTAAAAACATCAGCAGTAAAAACATCAGCAGTAACAACATCAGCAGTAAAAACAACAGCAGTGACAACATCAGCAGTAACAACATCAGCAGTAACAACATCAGCAGTAACTACATCCAGGGCTGGACTGGGACAAAAAAACGGCCCGGGCATTTTTTCCTTCTTACCGGCCCAGGCATGTTTTTGTCACGTTTTTTACAGTTTGTTTATACCAGGGATCGGCAACTCAAAAGGTTCAAAGAGCCATATTTGACAAAAAATACTAAAAACATCTGTCTGGAGCCGCAAAAAAATAACAGCCTTGTATAAAGCTTATATGAAGGTTACACAATGTAGCTACATTAGCTACATTAGCCTATTATCTAAATGACCAAGTAAAGGCTACAAATACATGATTAGCATTCATGATTGTCAAATGTGTGTTTTCACTGCAGCGTGTCCTGGAGAGAATGACGCACCATGTGATGACTCTGCTTTAACTTTGACTTCCATTTTTTTGCCTTCATGCAACTGAAGAAATACAGTAAATAAATCTGCTTTTTGGCTCAAAGGTCACACACCTGCACTGTCCACTCATATCGATTACGTCACAGGCTGAAGTTTGCTGGAGCTGAATGTCCTTAATGGCCTTTTCTTTCACAGTCTTTGCGGAGGTTTTTGAAGTCTGAAAAAGGTGCTCCGGATTTTGTATGAAAGAATCCTTCACGTAATCCCTGTGAACGGTATTTAGTGCTTCATTGTTCCTCGTGTTGCAACAAAACTTCCTATTACATCGCAAACATGAAGCAGTCCTTCCTCATTGACTGAAAGCAAATGTTCAGTCTTGTTCTTAGTCCAGTCTTATTATCGACTCGTTCTCTTTTTATCTTTGGGATCCGTGCGCACACGCCGGTTTGTTTACAGCAGCGGCCGTCTGCCGCGGGGCCGCGCCACAGGATATGACTCACTACGTTGACAGAAATGTTGAAATTGAATATTACTTATACACATTTTTACAGCATTGAAATACGTTAGGAATGTTTTTCCTCCTACAGAAACCACATTCAAATTAGGAATAAAATATAGCCCTCCCACTCCATTTTCAGACATTTTTGAAAAGGCTCCAGGAGCCACTGGAGGAGCACTAAAGGTTGCCGACCCCTGGTTTATACAGTATGTGGAAGCATACTGTAGAGGATCAGGATGTCTGCAGTTTCAACAAAAAAATAAAGTGCAATAGTCTACATTACAAGAGAGTAATAAACATGTCTCAGAGTGAGGGAGGTGACACAGACAACACTGTTGTTTGTTACAGGGATGAGAATTGGTCAAAAAAGTCTGAAATGCATAATGTCAGCCATTGGCTGGCTCTAAATCTGTTTAATTTTTTCACAACATTTTACTTTTGGGCTCAAACATGAACTTTTAATGCAATGGGAAATTTAGGCACCCGAGCTTTAATTTAGTCGCACTTCGAGAGGAGAGGGGAGACGCGGACTGTTTTCTGCAGCGGCGTATTTATTGGGTGCACAAATTACGCAAAGACACGCATGGTCCTGTGCACGTTTATGGTCTTGGGTACATGGTCACGTTGCGGCTACGCGCTCACCGTGTTGTGTTGTGAGCGGCTCCCGGTGAGCGGTTCCCGCGTCCAGCTCAGAGCCGCTGGATGCCGGAACACTGCGGCCGCTGAGGTGGTGGAATCCCGTTCCAGTACATACAGCAGGAGCCCGCGGACACGCGCGCTCCCTCGAACAGTTCTCAACGGATTTACACTTTTCACAAACATCTTTTTTGTATGAGGCAAACAGACCGGCCCAAATATGGGCATCGGCCCTTCTGGCATTGCCCGGTACGCCCGATGGCCAGTCCAGCCCTGACTACATCAGCAGTAATAACAACAGCAGTAATGACAGCAGTAGCCGCAGCAGTAGAATCCTGGACGTCTTCCTCTGACACTGCTGTCTCTTCTTCAGTGTCGCTTCAATCTGAAGAGACCAAGACAGAAACATTAATGCATGAAAAAGATTTATTTGATTGGCGCATTGACCCCGACAGTGACACTTACAGAGGGGGAGATGGTCAGCTGCTGTAGATGATCTCAGACCCCCCGGGGTCAAGCACTGGTGGTGGCTAGAAGCATGGTGTGAATGGGGCGTAGGCGGAGCAGGAGCAGGAGCCAGAGCCGGCCCCAGGAGCCGGAACCAGGAGCCGAGGAGGCGCTGGGGAGGTGGTGGGTATTAAAAGCTTCAGGAAGGGCCGTTTATCGTTTTTTAAAACTTATTACCTTTCATCATGGCCGCTCTTCTCTCCGCTCCGTGATCCATGCAACTGACGGACGCTCACGTACGACGGCCTTACGTCACTGTCACCAGAATGATTGACAATTAGGAAGACCAAAAGTTTAGATGATCCTCCTGAAAGAAGAGAATCCTCTAAAATACCTTTAAGGCTGAGGAGGATGTTTAGTTTCCACCAGGTCCAGACCAAAATCCAATCCAGAAACTGTGGCAAAATCTGAAAACAAACTGTTCACAGCACTCTCCATGTAATCGAACTAAGCCTGAGCTGTTATTGTGCAAAGGAGATGGGAATAAAATCAGACTCTAGACGTCTCTAAAAGTTTAGCACTTCTACAGACTGACTTGTCTTCCCTTTTTGCTTCAAGTAACAACTCCTGCTCTGTCAGATTCCATCAAGAACATTTGTGAACTGAAGTTTTAGATAATTCACAAATTCCTCGATTGGGTTTTGGATTTAGAAAATGGATGGATCATCTATCCATCCATTATTTAAAAATGGATGGAGAGATCATAGTGGGAGAAGACATTTTACCTTAAGCTAAAAGGAATACTTAGCTTAATTAAAACAGCTGCAGCGTTTGAGCAATGAAAACGCCCTCCTGAAGATGTTTTTCCTCTTCTTCTTTGGGACAAAATCATCTAAAGAGACACAATCATGATTAACCGTTTCCTCCATGCTGTTAATGAGGGTGAGCAGACTCTTACCTTCAGTAGGGGGCAGTGTGGAGTCGTTCAGAGGCTGCACTTTGGCTGTTCTCTTTATCCAAAGTTTCCTTTTAGGCCTGAGGAGACAACATTTACATCAGTTAAACTTTGTAGATGGAATACTGTGCTTTTTGTACCAGTAATGGACAAAACTATCTAACCTGTCTTCGAGCCTCTCGTCTACAGCGTCACAGCGAGTAGACGTGGGAGTCTGTATCGGAGCGGGCTCTCTGTCTTTAGCCTTTGTCTCCATATTAAGTCGACTGCAGGAAAACAACATGTTACTGTAGACTTCACACAAGGATCAAACTTTCTTTACAGCTACAAAGCATTTAAACAGACTGAAGTCCTTCCTGACCTGTCACTCTGCTGCTGGTCCTGAATAGGGTCTCTCTGTGTGGTCCTCTCTGCGGAGTGGAGCTCCACACTCGTCACACTAAAGAAAACATCTGGGATTAGTCTCTTATTGTCCACTTGTTTTCAGAGAAGGTTAAAGCTGAGTTAACCAACTTTGTCATGAAGTGTCATGACGTCCATGTATCTACTAGTTCCTGGTTCTCAAAATAGTTTCTTCTATCATTTGTTTTCACATGCTTGTATTGTTGGTCTCTGCTACATCTTTAGACCAGTCTTAGATCAGGAGTGCCCACGCATTAGTAAACCAAGATTCTACTCAGAATATTTCATTTGGTTTGATTTGTGATGCAGTTGTGATTCATTGTAGATTTCTTCATTGTGAGATCAATAAAGTTTTTTCTTATTTCATGATTAAGTGATGACCATGTTGTCTTTATTCACATTTGGCATGAAAGCAATATATAGAGGTTCAAAGGATAATTTTAAATATTTACTACTTGCAATTGCCATTTGATTTGCAAAGCAAATACAGTTAGGAATACAGCAGCATAATTGTACTACGTATTGGAGAGGGCTATTGTTGGAGTCAAACATAAAAGGCCAGTTGTGTTTACTAAAGTTTGAGGCGTCTGGAGCCTGTGTCTGTCCTTGAACAGATTGTTTTTCTCACTGCTAATTTACACAGGAGACGTTGTACGCGCGTAACATTTTTCTATGCTAACCAATGGTCTTCACTACTGGTGTTTTACGAGCGTATGACGGAACGCGTCTCCCAGTCAAAACACATGGAAACATGATTTTTCTAGCGATCCTTGGCTCTAGATCACATCCAAACAGACACGCACGCAGGAACAGCAGGTTTTAAAGTGATTCTGGACATTGTTTCTATTTGTATTCATAAAGTCTCACGTCTGGCCAAACCAGCGCACAGAGACCATGAAGACAAACACATGCATGTGATTTGTGATGTTCCTTTTAGTCTCACATTTTAGTGTTTTACTTATTGTATTGTTATTGTATTGTTTTTAGTCTACCCAGGGTTTCCTCTGGATGAGCCCTCTGCACTGGGAGCAGTGGTCGGTGTGTCTGTGGGGTCGGACTCTTGGGCCTGGTGGGGGCCTGGGGCCTCGGTTTCGTGTCTCCTCTGGGTTCTGTGTCGTCCCCTGTGGCTACAGGCGGCTCTCTCCTCCTGGTGCAGACGGCTCCTTGGATGGTGCTTTTTCAGCTGGTTGCATCTGAACCCTGCCCAGTCTCTCATCATGGTTTTATTGTTTTACTGGTGTGTGTGTGTGTATGAGTGTTCATGGGAGCATGTGTGTGTTTGTCTGTGGTTTAGGGTGGGTCTGTTGGGTGGTCTGGGGGAGGGGTCTTGGGCCGGCGGGATTGTTTTTAACCAAACTGTAAAGCACTTTGTGTTGCATCTTTTGTATGAAAAGCGCTTTATAAATAAAATTTGATTGATTGATTGATTGATTGATGTTCTACATCAGTCCTCTGGTCAGTACTGTCCTCTACACTGCTCCATAGACTACACAGGGAGAGCATCAAAAGCCGCGGCCCTACGCGCACGGCCAGTGTCCATACAGCTAAATAATGGTACGCTCAAATGTGCGTAGTCAACGCTTACGCGCTGTTAAAGCCTACTGTGGAAGTAAGCTGTCATGCTTTAAGTAAAGTAAAAAGCCTGTGCTTCTCACCTCTTTACCAGGTCACCCTCCTGCAATCGTATGGTGTTTTCTGGTCGGGCCGGTTTCACCATAATGACCCTGTGCGAGGACACAGGAGCTTCCTGGACCTCAGCTCTGCTGCTCCCACTGCGTCTGTGAACATCATCAAAAGAGGGCAATCTTCACAGTTTCTTAAAGCAGACATCATGTAACAAAGCCTTCTGGGAGCTTTTTAGGGACAAACAAATGCTCCATGGAAGATTAGAGCTAACTCAAGCAGGCTCTATGGCAGGGGTGTCAAACTGGTCCTTAAAGGGCCGGTGTGGCTGCAGGTTTTAATTCCAACCTGAGCAGGAACACACCAGACTGTTCAAGTTGGAACTAAACCTCCAGCCTCACTGGTCCCTCCTGGAACCGGTTTGACACCCTTGCTCTATGGAGTGTTAGAGTGAACACAAAGTCCCTGAAACAGTCTCACCTGTTCTTCTGTTGGGTCATGTTAAAGCTTCTATGAGCCTTCTCTCTGGACATCAGAACCTTGGGACTAGAAACAAGACAAAAAAAACAATTACTTTTTGCATAATCCACTGTATTGAAGGATTCTGTAAAAATGAACAGAATGTGTTTCTGTAGCTTTTAAGGCAAGTACAAAATCATCCAAAATCAAACCTCACCTCTCCTTCTGAACATCATCAAGCTCCTGGAATTCGATGATGTTCTCTGGTGAGGCCGGTTTCACCATAATGACCCTGGGAGAGATCACAGGAGCCTCCTGGAGCTCAGCTTTGTTGCTCTCACTGCGTCTGTAAACAACATCCACATTAGAAGAGCGACTTTTTAGTTACATCAAACTGAAATGATGAAAGTTGTCTGGGAACTTTATGGGACAAACAATAATTATAAAATGAATGCATATCATTTATAACGCAGCTTTCAAATGCTCAAGGTGCTACGGCAGGTTAAAATCACAATCAGAGCATCAGAAAAAGTACAAACAAGTTTAAGAATGGAAAAAGGCAGAAGGTCGAACCTGACACCAAGGTTTGTACCACAGGGGGAAGGGTTAATGTGTGGCCAGAAAAACGGACGCGGTTTACAGACAGAGAACGGCGTTGATATGGAGAGTTTTTTGGCAGGTTGTATGTGTGCTTTGTGGGAGATGAGAGCGAACTCAAACAGGATCTGTAAACAAGTCTCACCTGTCCTTCTGTTGGATCACATCAAAGGTTTTACGAGCCTTCTCTTTGGACATCAGAATCCTAAAAAATAAACAATTACTTATTATTATTTTTCACCTTATTTTTCATCATCAGTTTGTGGGCCCTGTATGAACCCAGCCAAAACCAAGCCTTACTTCTTCCTCTGCGAGTCGACAACCTCCTTTGAATTTCCGGTGCTTTCTGGTTGAACCGGTTTCACCAAAACCTTGGGAGTAGCCTTAGGCTTATGCCAGCCAACTTTCTTGACTGGCATAAGTGTTTTCTTTTCATTCTTCCAACTGTAGAACAGAATATATACATTAGAAGAGCTGATCTAGAAGGCGTTTGTAGAAATGTAGTTTCAAATGTGCGTAGTCAACGCTTACGCGCTGTTAAAGCCTACTGTGGAAGTAAGCTGTCATGCTTTAAGTAAAGTAAAAAGCCTGTGCTTCTCACCTCTTTACCAGGTCACCCTCCTGCAATCGTATGGTGTTTTCTGGTCGGGCCGGTTTCACCATAATGACCCTGTGCGAGGACACAGGAGCTTCCTGGACCTCAGCTCTGCTGCTCCCACTGCGTCTGTGAACATCATCAAAAGAGGGCAATCTTCACAGTTTCTTAAAGCAGACATCATGTAACAAAGCCTTCTGGGAGCTTTTTAGGGACAAACAAATGCTCCATGGAAGATTAGAGCTAACTCAAGCAGGCTCTATGGCAGGGGTGTCAAACTGGTCCTTAAAGGGCCGGTGTGGCTGCAGGTTTTAATTCCAACCTGAGCAGGAACACACCAGACTGTTCAAGTTGGAACTAAACCTCCAGCCTCACTGGTCCCTCCTGGAACCGGTTTGACACCCTTGCTCTATGGAGTGTTAGAGTGAACACAAAGTCCCTGAAACAGTCTCACCTGTTCTTCTGTTGGGTCATGTTAAAGCTTCTATGAGCCTTCTCTCTGGACATCAGAACCTTGGGACTAGAAACAAGACAAAAAAAACAATTACTTTTTGCATAATCCACTGTATTGAAGGATTCTGTAAAAATGAACAGAATGTGTTTCTGTAGCTTTTAAGGCAAGTACAAAATCATCCAAAAACAAACCTCACCTCTCCTTCTGAACATCATCAAGCTCCTGGAATTCGATGATGTTCTCTGGTGAGGCCGGTTTCACCATAATGACCCTGGGAGAGATCACAGGAGCCTCCTGGAGCTCAGCTTTGTTGCTCTCACTGCGTCTGTAAACAACATCCACATTAGAAGAGCGACTTTTTAGTTACATCAAACTGAAATGATGAAAGTTGTCTGGGAACTTTATGGGACAAACAATAATTATAAAATGAATGCATATCATTTATAACGCAGCTTTCAAATGCCCAAGGTGCTACGGCAGGTTAAAATCACAATCAGAGCATCAGAAAAAGTACAAACAAGTTTAAGAATGGATAAAAAGGCAGAAGGTCGAACCTGACACCAAGGTTTGTACCACAGGGGGAAGGGTTAATGTGTGGCCAGAAAAACGGACGCGGTTTACAGACAGAGAACGGCGTTGATATGGAGAGTTTTTTGGCAGGTTGTATGTGTGCTTTGTGGGAGATGAGAGCGAACTCAAACAGGATCTGTAAACAAGTCTCACCTGTCCTTCTGTTGGATCACATCAAAGGGTAAACGAGCCTTCTCTTTGGACATCAGAATCCTAAAAAATAAACAATTACTTATTATTATTTTTCACCTTATTTTTCATCATCAGTTTGTGGGCCCTGTATGAACCCAGCCAAAACCAAGCCTTACTTCTTCCTCTGCGAGTCGACAACCTCCTTTGAATTTCCGGTGCTTTCTGATTGAACCGGTTTCACCAAAACCTTGGGAGTAGCCTTAGGCTTATGCCAGCAAACTTTCTTGACTGGCATAAGTGTTTTCTTTTCATTCTTCCAACTGTAGAACAGAATATAAACATTAGAAGAGCTGATCTAGAAGGCGTTTGTAGAAATGTAGTTTCAAAGGAAGCAGAGCAGCACGAAACTCACATGATAAAGTCATGTTCCATAATTTCAGCAGCAGTGATTCTGTCAGATTCTTCAAGATAGAGCATGCTCTCGGCCAGGTCCAAGCATTCAGTCAGCTCTTTAGGGTTCTTCATGTAGAACTGTAAAAAAATGGCATCATGCTATGAATACAGTATAACACAAAACTCTAAATTTGAAAATATTTCCCAATTCCAGAAAATGTCCACTCAATAAACTTACCGGGAGTAGTTTGGTCTCTGAAGGACATCTTTCAAAGTATAGATGTGTCAAAGCCGAACGAAAATTGGGAAAGTCTTCGAACTCCTCGAGAGTCTAGAAGAAAAGATACAAAGTATTTACTGTGTTGACATGAGCCGCTTAAGACATGACAGAAGAAAGAAAAATACGTTACCTTCAGCGCCCATCCACCTCCAACACGTTTGAAGAACTCTCTTGTTCTAAGACCTTTGTCCAGATCACAGGAGTTTGGCAGTCCAAGCAGTTTGACCATAGTCTCCATCTGAAAAGACAGAAGAATGAAACAGGTGTAACTTTCTCGAGTTTAGGAAAGTGCAAATACTTTAGAGCAATGTTGGGCTTACATTTTTGAATTCACTCTCGTTGGAAAACATTTGAACTCTGGTGACCATTTGAACCAAAGTACAGCCTAAGGACCAGATGTCTATGGACTGATTGAAAGGGAGTCCCAGGATGACTTCAGGAGCTCTGCGTGGAACAAAACATCTTGTTAACAGAAACTTTAAAGAACAAAAATAATGCATTATTGTTTTTCGAATGTTACATCATAAAACTTGCCAAAACTAATGTGTTTGAAATGGCAGAAAAACGGTCATGAACTGTGGGTCTGACCAAATAGAAGCCAATTGTGGGTATCGTGAGAACAGCCTCTTACCTGTATGCGAGCTGCTGCACCCTCATGCCTGCCTTGGCCTTCTTTGTCCGAACAACAGAACCAAAATCAGCCAGTTTGATTGTGGGAGTTTGTGCGAACAGACTGCAGATGAAGATGTTTTCTGCTGTGACCCCAGTGTGGATAGCCTTTATATACTCCAGGACTTGTAACGCATTGACCGTCTGTAATAGTTGTAACATTGAATTAATACATGGAAGAAAGACATGTCAGCCTTCAAATATTAGATATATTATATATCTTAATATATTCTTGGAAGGACTATTTAATGAGTTTTGGAGACTGGACACCCCTGCATTACAGTATAACTTCTTACCTGCTTCACAATGCTCCGGATGTGTCCCAGTGGTAGAGGGTAGCGCTTGTCGATGTAGGCAGACAGATTCATGTCAAGACATTCCATCACCAGAACCTTTCCATAACTGGTTTGGATCGAGTCTACGAATGTGACAATATTTTGATGATCCATCCCAGAGTTTGTGATCTTCTGGAGCAGCCTGACCTAAATGGTTGGACAGTATGGTTTGAGTAAGTTATTTGTGTGAACATTTATGAACATTGTTTTCACCTTTAGACCAATGACTTTAATTGTTTTAATGGTATATTTCTTATTTATTTTAATTGTTTGATCGAGGCCTCCTGCATTCTGTTCAAATACAGAAGCCTCGGAACTGGGTGTATTGGCTATCTCAGAGAAAAGATCTTACAACCAATCTTCAGCCCAATCACAAAATGGGAAGTCACATGTATACACATATAATATCATTCTAAATTGTATCCACTGCATGAAGTGATGGTATTATCACACGTGTGAATGCGTACCTCGCGCTGAGTCCGGTTGTTGGAATACGGCACCTTGACTGTCACAAACTTGTTGATGCTCTTGTTTTTGCATTTGACAAACTGCCCGAACTTTCCAATGGCCAACATCTTAATGACCTTGTATTCTTTAGGAAGAATGTCATTGATCTCCAAACAACTCAAAGGCCTAACCAAAGACAAAAACAGTTACATAATGACTTTGCCCTTGAGCTTTGTCCTTTAATAGTAGGTAATGTTTCTTACATGTGCTCCTCCTCTTCCTCGCTGTGAGCTGAATTTGTTAAGTCATCCTTTCTGTTGAGTTAAGAAATGAGTTATTATTTGCGGAGACGGAGAGGAGGTTTGCGTTGTGAATTAAGCTGCTGCATGGATGGAGCTTCTGCCTGATATGAAGCTTGATTCGAGGCAGTGCTTGATTGCTGCTAGGTGAGAATTTGTGTGTGGTGATGCAGTTTAGAGTGATTGACAGATACTGTTGCTGTGAAGCAACAGTGGGAGGACTTTGAGCGGTTTACATACAGAGGGCTTGTGACAGCGTATGAGGCACCTTTGAACTTTGCCTCTTTACTCAAATTTATTGTAATTGTAAAATAAATGGCTATCACACATAAAGCCAAGCACTTCACATAGCAAAACAAAAATAAAGCCGCAAGCAGCAATGAATGGCTCTGGCACGACACTGTAAAAATATTGGAAGATATTTTTTGTTGTCATTGTGAAAAATATAAAAGAAAACTTAAAGAAATCTGAAGTAAAAGAACAAATAAAAAGTTTAATTTGTGTCAAAACCTACTGTTCATGACAGATGGCTGGGTGTTGCAGGATTTGTTTGGGAGTAATCCTGTCGTTCATGTCCATGTCCAACAGCTTTTTGAGGAGGTCTAAGGCTGGTTCTGTGTTCACTTCGTCCTCCTTCACAAAGTCCTAGAAACAAGTCATGGACAGGTCAGTGTTGTCTCCACTTTGGAGGAAGGTAAAGCGACAGTATTACCGTGATCAGTTGAGTGAGGGAATCGAAGGATTCTAAACCGTCGTCCTCTTTAATTTCATAATTCACAGAAGCCTTAATGTCCTCTCGAGTCTAGAAGAGTTGGTTACATAGCAATTACATAATTCAATTGTTTTTTATATTTTTTTATGGCAAAAACCTAAACAGAATGAATAAATTTACCCTTAAGTTCCATCCGCTGCGACTTCTTTGGTAGAAGTTGATGGTATTACTCCCTTTATTGAGGATGTGCTCAGGAGGAGGACCAAGGAGTTTGTGCATCACTCTCAGCTATATCCAGAAAAAGACACATTTGTGTTAGCACATTTTAGGACACATTACTCACAACTTGTCCAGTTTGTCCAGTAACTTACAGCCTCATACTCCACATCAGGGAATAAATTAATCCCAAGCCACAGATAAGACATGATGAGTCCCAGGCACCACACGTCCAGGCCTTCGTCCCAACCAGAGCCTAAAATGACTTCTGGCGGCCTGCGGAAGAGAACAGAGTAATTCAAAAATATGATGTAATACAATACAATACAATATAGTTTATTGATCAAAACCTGATACTTAAGCGAGTTAGTCCCAACCCTATCAGTCGCCCCCTGCTGGTTATAGCTGCTGGTGCCTGACTTACCTGTACATCGCGTGGTGGACCGTCAATCTCCCAGTCTCGCCTGTGGGCATGGTCAAACCAAAGTCGATCAGTTTGACGTGCAGAGGCCTCTGAGTATGGTTCACCACCATCACATTGTCCATCTTCAGGTCTGAGTGGACCATGGAGCGCTCTCTGAGCACGTCCAACGCTGTGGCCACCTGCAGCAGAAAATCATAAATCAATAATGGTTCCCAAAGTCAGTGTTTTAAAAGGACTTGATGTAATGACCTGTTGCACAATGATGAAGATGTCCGACAGAGGCAGAAGATCATATTTGTCCACGAGGTCCCACAAACTCATGTCCAACAGTTCAAACACCATGGCTCTCCCCAACCTGGTGTCAAACGCCTCAATGAACCTGACGATGTTTCGCTGGTCCATCCTCTCTTCCATCAGCTCCTCGAGCAGAGCAATCTGAACACACAGGGCACACAGTTAGGTTAGACGGCATAGGTTTAGTTGTCTGTAATGGGGATTTATTCAAAGTTGGGTTCATGTATGAATTGTTATTAAACCAGTGAGAGGTGACTTTGACTAGAACACTTTTAGTGGTCGGATGAACAGGGAGTGTCCTCTTGAGACACTCTGAGGTGTCCTCCGCTGCCAACGCTGTGCTTTAAGTTCTGGAGACTAGCAGGACTTTCTGCTCACGTTAACGGTTATGCTGTTTGAAGAAAACGTTGTCCTGAAGAGTGAACGTAACACTCATTTGGAAAGAGTGTGAGGATTACACATTGTGCATGGGCAGAAAAGGACCAGACAGTGGGAGGGTCCTACTTTACACACAGAACACTCGCGCTTTGGAGACAGGGGGAGGATCTCGGAACTAACCATTAGCGCAGGACCCCACTTACCCTCCTATTACCAGCAAACACCTGGGATTGGATGTTCAGACTCCTGTACATCATGAGCTTTAAGACAAAATTTAGTTTGTTGATGTAGCACAATTCAGCAGCTCTGATGCTCAATTGTCTTTTATTGACAATCTTATTTTGACCCCCTTGGATGGGTCTCAAACGTGTGGCCCGTGGGCTATTTGCAGTCTGCCAAAAGTATTTTGTGACTTTCTATTGGAATCATTATTTAACTTAAAGTCACCCTGTGCAATTTCTACAGTTTCTCCATATGAAAAAACATGTTATCTAATATGAAATGGGACCTTTTTAAGAATATTTACCTCCACCATGTTTTTAAAATTGTCTTCATAGGCTTCAAAATATAAATCTCCATTCATTCATATGAGCAGAGTACTCTCCGTTTCAATGCGCCATCTTGAAATACAGTGGTGGATAAGGGACAAAAAGGATGCGGGAATCGCATTTTCGTTTCACAGGTGCACGGTTGCTTTCACCGTGCCTTCACAGGTTTGAAGAAGGTTTGAAGATATATTCGAATAAGTCACCACTTCTGTCTGTGCAGGGAAGCTATCGGAGCTAGCCATGCTCAATAACACAAATATCAATCAATCGATCAATGCATTTAAATGTTAATGGGAGAATACATTTAGCATATACATTCTTAACACACGTGCACAGAGGTTTTCAGAATTATCTGTAAACGATTTCATGACAAAAATGCTGTTTTAATGTGACCAAAAACAATCGCGAAAAACCCAGAAGTAACTATAAACATTAGTGGAACATTTTAGCACACATTTGAAGAGGATCTGATTATGGATTTAGGTTTGGTATATAAATGGGTAACTCACCGCTGATGTTCAGAATTCTTGGTTCAGTTTTCATGTATTTCCAGAGAGTTCTGGTTGGTTAGCTAGCGTAGCTGTCACTAGCGTAGCTGTTACTAGCGTAGCTGTTACTAGCCTAGCCACGTCACGGTGCAACCTTTGGGAACTATTTTATATATATTTATATACATATATCATTTAAAAAAGATAATGCCCATTACAGCTTCGAATATTAAGGGCTGTCTAATATTTGTTCAAATATATATATTTTAATATTCAAATTATATTCGAATTTCAAACTTTGAAGTCAAAGCCCTAAAACACGCAGAATCCCCACAAAACAATCACCAGAATACTTTATCAGCAGCATGAGTGAGTGTTCTGTTTTATATATATATATATATATATATATATATAGATAGATAGAGATAGAGATAGAGAGAGAGAGAGAGAGAGAGAGAGAGAGAGACCTCCTTACCTCGATCTTGGTGTCCTGCATGTGAAAGGGCAGCTTGACGGCCACAGCCTGACCCGTGTCTTTGGTGAAACATTTCACCACCTGACCGAATCCTCCTTGGTCCAAGACATTGTCCAGAACGTAATTCTCCGGCAGTGCATCCAAAATATTGTCTTTGCTCAACCCTTCAGGTTTCATTTTAACAGGAAAACTGAAACACATTGCACAAACATGTATTTTTGTGTTAAAGTCACATCTTTCAATCAGAACTCTTCCTTTGGCATCATATCACCCCAGCTTTAACTATATTCATTTGGATCCCATAATAGACTCTTGAGAAACTTATCTTTGGCTTTCGGTGGGAAATAAGTTCTTGTCTGTGGCAAACTGTTAACAACTCAAAGAACTGAAAAAAGCCAAATTGTTCGTAGTCCACCTTAAAGTGATGGGGACATTTCCAGAGTGAGTTTATGTATCTGTGAGGCATATAGTGACAAGTTTATCAACTCCAAATTACTTCTAAAGGCTATTCATGTTATTTTCATCATCATTTATGTTCAGCTGGTAATAATATTGTCAAATCAAGTCCTTTGCTCCTCTCCAGCTGTAACAAAGTTCTATCACTTCATGTGTTTTAGCAGAGAACCAAGCTATTGTCAAGTGTACATTAGCTTGGTTCTTAGCTAAGACTAAAGCTCAGAAACTATTTTATCTTCAATAATATATGTTTTTTATTTAGTCTTTAGTAAGGACAGACATGCAGCATGTTACCAGACCACAATGTATAATTTTCATGTAATGAAATCATATGTTTCAAGCGAATGCCATTTGAAACACAACTTGACTGATGTTATGCTAACGTTAGCTCCTTCTAACAAACTTATTTACAGATAAAATCAGTTTTACCTGAACTATAATCACTCCCACATGTCTTAATAACACTTACCTGTTCACGTGTCAAAGATAAGAGTATTTAAAAAGTTTTGTAGACGTAAATCCGCCTGCTCAACACGTGTGCGACTGCTTAGTTCAACTGCTCAGCTCAAATGAAGCATCTGCAGGTTTGACTGTCGCCATGGAGACAACATCCAACTACATTCTAGAAGATGTGTAATGGAATGTCATGATGTAATGCTTTTCAGCCTGTGGACAACTTGGAAAACACAAACAACAACATAACTTTAGTTTATTAAATACATTTTGTTTCTGACAACAGAAAGAGTCATGTTTGCTGCAGTAAACCACCATGTGCAATCATGTGCAATACTGACATTTATGAGTGTCTACTGAATGTCACTTTCTGCCATAATAATACAAACAATAAATATAAACACACATTATATATACATATGCGTGTGTAAGATGGCGACAGAGCGGGTTGGCCCTCTTTGTGGGGAATTCAAGTTAAAAAAGAATATGTGCATGACCGCGGGGCGCGAGTATTTTATTCGTAGGTAGGTTCTGCCACAGGGACCGATTTCAGCCAATCAGAAAGCTAGTCTGAAGTGACGTGTTCAGCGCGCCGGCAGACGACGGTGAATTACATTACAACCTAAAAATAAACCATTTATTAATTTACATGCGAATTGTATTTACTGTATTACATATACCATGTATATATAATTTACAATAATAATAACAAACAATGTTGAAAGTGTCCATTTTATGTTTTCAGCTGTTAATCACCGGCGCGCTGAACACGTCACTTCAGACTAGCTTTCTGATTGGCTGAAATCGGAAAAATGAGTGGAAGGAAAAGGAGTGACATTTGGAACCATTTCAGTGAGGTTTCAGCCACTAAATCCAAATGCAATACTTGCAAAAGGATTTTATCAACCCAAGGAGGAAGCACTTCAAATTTGAGAAGACACCTTAAAACGGCACATCCAACTGTGCAGTTAACACAAGTGAGGGGGGAGAGTGACGATGGAGCCACTGCAGCAGCTGCAAATATCTCCACCAGTAGCACTTTATCTGGACCTCAAATCACTGCTGCTGCAACACTGGCTACAGCTTCTGCAATATCCAGTACACCAGCAGCACCCACCACCACCACCACCCAAACAGCAGTTAGACCACGGAGGCCACAACAAACACTTATGGGCACTTACATTACAAGGCCAATGGATCCACTCAGGCAGAGCAAACTGGATGAAGCACTGGTTAAAATGATAGCTTCTGACTATCAACCATTCTCCATCGTTGAGGACAAAGGCTTCAAAGAATTCACAAAGACCCTGGACCCTTCATACACTCTGCCAAGCAGGAAAACACTTTCTCAAACTCTACTGCCAAAGATGTATGGAAAGATAAGAGCTGAGTTGTTGGAGAAAATCAAGAATGCTCCTGCTGTATGCCTCACAACTGACTGCTGGACATCTGTAACAACCACAAGCTACATGTCTGTGACCTGCCACTATGTACAGGATTTTACAATGACATCCCATCTCCTGGACTGTTTTGTCTTGACAGACAGACACACTTCTGCTCACCTGGCAAGTGAGTTGAAGAGAGTTGCAGATGAATGGGGTGTCAGTGACAAAGTTGTAGCTTGTGTCACAGACAATGCCAGCAACATCGTGGCAGCCCTGAGAGACCACCTGCACTGGGACCACATACCATGCTTTGCACATGTTTTAAATCTCGTTGTGAGAGCTGCACTTAGAGAGGTTCAGGGTACAGTTAATAAAATAAAAGCTGTGGTGGAATACTTCCACAGAAGCACAGTTGCTTCAGACAAGCTGAAGGCCACACAGCAACAGATGGGCCAGGAGCAGCTGCGCTTGAAGCAGGATGTGGTTACAAGGTGGAATTCCACATTTTATATGGTGAAAAGGTTCATTGATGTAAAGGATCCAGTCATCTCCACCCTGGCACTTATCAATGCACCCCTATCCACACTGTCCACAGAGGAATGGGAAATTGCTCAGGAAACAGCGGACATCCTCAAACCTTTTGAGGAGGTCACCGTTGAAGTGAGCGCTGAGAGGTATGTAGTTAAAGTAATTCATTTATATTAAACTAACTCACTTTTAATAAGCACAAACTTCATATTTAAAAATATATATATAGTTAGTGATGGATTTTAACTGTATCCTTACTGTTAACAAAGACACATGACATTGATCTGTGATAGTACACTGTTATAACTGCTTTTGAGAACAAAATATGAATAATTGAACTCTGTCTGTAGGTTTGTGACTGCCTCCAAAGTGATTCTGATGGCAAGAGGTCTTCAGAGGATTGTTGCTCGCCATCAAAGAAGCCCGTCAGTCCATGAACCTATTAAAAAACTGGTGGACAGCCTGATGTCTGAAATGCAGAAGAGGTTCAGCAAGGTGGAGCATATTGAGAAGCTTGCTGATGCAACTTGTTTGGACCCAAGGTTCAAAAAGCAAGCTTTTGTTAACAGCAAGGCTGCAGAGGACACTGTGAAGAGAATCACAGCTGCTGCAGCACACAACCACCCCAGTCACAGTGAGGAGGAGGAGTCTCAAAATCCCTCTGTGGCTGCCAGCACAGGGGCCATGTTTTGGGAAGACTTCGATGAGAGGGTTGCAAGCACCAGGGCTTCCACTTCCTCAGATTCTGCCACATCGAGCACCTCAACTGCTGCCATGATGGAGATGCGGGCCTACTTGGCAGAGCCACTCCTATCCCCCTCATCAGATCCTCTGGCATGGTGGAGGATGTGCTCGCCCGTATTCAAAACTCTGTGTGAGGTGATGAAAACTAGACTGTGCATTGTGGCCACATCTGTGCCCTCTGAGAGAGTTTTCTCAAAGACTGGGCAGATAATCACAGACAGACGGAACAGGCTCAGCCCCTCCAAGGTCCGCCAGCTTGTGTTTCTAAATGCCAACTTGTGTTTCTAAATGCCAACTTGCCTTAAAGCTGGCCTTTAATATACATGTGTCACTTTTAATTGTGCAATATTGTTGGTTTGGTTTGGTTTGGTTTTTATTTAATTTTTTTTCTTATTTAACTTTTTCTATTTAACTTTATTTATGTCTCTTAGATGTGTATAGTGTTGTATATATAATATACATGTGTCCCTTTTAATTGTGCAATATTGTTGGTTTGGTTTGCTTTTTATTTAATTTTATTCTTATTTAACTTTTTCTATTTAACTTTATGTCTCTTACTCTTAGATGTGTATGTTGTGTATATAATACACATGTGTCACTTTTAATTGTGCAATATTGTTGGTTTGGTTTTTATTTAATTTTATTCTTTAACTTTTTCTATTTAACTTTATTTTTGTCTCTTAGATGTGTGTAGTGTTGTGTATATAATGTAAAGTGTGTTTTATATATAAGTCTCTTTAAAAATAAATATTTTCGAAAATTCTATCAGCATATTTATTGTGTTATACTCTGCCACAAAATAATAAAACATAACAATGATAACAACAAACACAATAAAAATAACAATAATAGTAATAATAATAATGTCACTTTTTGGACACAATAAATGCACCATGTAAACATAGGCAACTCATCAACTATTATTTTTTGTTTTAATTGTATCATTAATTGTCAAAATTAGTTTTACATTCGCTGTCCTCTCCCCAGCTGTCATGTGATCGACTGCTCGGCCGAAAGGGTCTCTGTCTGCTTAGGCTGTGGAGCAGAGCAGTACTTGTTCTCGTTCAAATCGTTCATTTGTCACATGACTCGCGGGCTGACCGGGTCTTTCTCGTTCATCGTTCACAGCTCAGTACTTCGTTCTCGTTCGTCCAACTGGTTCCTTTGTCACATGACTCGCGGGCTGACCGGGTCTTTCTCGTTCATCGTTCATCGGTTCACAGCTCTGGCTCAGGCTGACACTGTGCGCCAGCAACATTGCTTCTCTCTGATTGGTCTGTTTTCACTGTCACGTGACAGTTACCCAGACTGCCGTGCTGTTAAACAATGATAACAGAGAGGATACAGGACACAAGTTACATTATTGTGGTGTGTGTTAGCTTTCCTGGGTTTTCAAATGGCTTGAATAGCTTATGGCATTTTGTGTGTTATACTTTGTCACCGTAAGCAAACCATCTTGTCTTCAGTATTTATAGTTGGAGAAAACACGTCGTCGGCATGAGTCCTGCATTGTGGGCCACTACAGCGCCATCTGCTGTACAAATGAACGAAATGATTCGTTCGGGACTCGTTCAATTTACTGTTCGAGAGTTAAAGAATCGAATCAGAGGAAAGAACCGGTTTTCCCATCACTACGTGGAATATGTCTCATAACCTCGGCTGCTATCACGTCTGTGTTGACCACAGGGTCTTCAATAGTTGAGATAGGCATGTTTAACGTTAAAACAGATTTTTCACTCTCCTCTTTTCTCACCAGCGTAAGAAAACGCTGTAGAATGTGAGCATAGTGTTTAGCTTTTTCATTAGGGTCCATTGTTATATTATTCAAAATACCGAGCATTTCTTTGTCCAACTCTGTCTGCACCCTGTGTGTGATGGATTTTTCATGACCCTGCTGCGTTAGTTTATCCAGCTGTTGTTGCGGCACCAAATACACTTTTTCCGTATATTCCATGTTAACTACTGGTGATGAGGCTCGTTATAAACGGTATAGCCGCCCCCAAAAGCGGTAGTAGAAATCCACCTTGCTGATTCAAGGCTTTTCTCTTCTTTAAAACGTTTAACTTCTTGTTACCGATGACTCTAATAACTTTTTTCTTTTTCTCAAGTTGTTTGTACTGTCTCGTTGTCAGAGGTATGTTCCCACTGAGCACGTTAATGGCTAGCTCTGACAGGGCGTTAATAAGGTCCGGACTTGCTTTAGTCAGAATAACCTTCCGCATTTTGGGCGAAGCCTTATATAACAACTGAAGCAAAGATAAATTTTGTACCACACGTGCCGACATAATTACTTTTTACCCTTTTTAGGTATATACACAACTACTTTGTCCGAAAGCCGACTCGTTCTGAGTCTAAAGTGATCAGGTGTTTTAGTTTTATAATCGATTAAAAGATACCCGTAGGGTCTGTTTGTAGCGTCATTAAAAGCCTCTAGAAAAAATTTGGATTTGTTAGGAAACATTTGTTTACCCAATAGAGATATTTGGAATCTGTCCCGGGGATTATTAAAAAGTATTAGATAGTTTGTGTTTAAACTAATTGTGCGACTGCTTTTACCCTGCACAAACAAATTTTGCACCAAGTAAACACAACTCAGATTTCTATGATGGACATATTTGGTGAATACATTTTGCACTTCCAAATTGTTTGAAGCATCGTTCATCAAGTCGTCGATTATAAGTAGGTTGTTTTTGCTCGGTGGCAACAATGTGTCATCTGCCAAAGATTCAGGCAGGTCTTTGATAAAGTTAACATTACGTATTTTTAGAATATCGTCATAGAGCGGTTGCCAGCATGGATATATATGTACACAATGTTTTTAATTTTGTGGGATATTAAAGCGTCTGCATTTTCAATAATGTCTTTAACAAAATATGTCTTGCCACAATTTGATGGTCCACTAAAAACAGAGCTAAAAGGATGCTGGAGCCTTGAGTCAAAAAGCTCTGCTTTAAAATCCATAGGGTTTTGTAGAGTAGTCATTGAACAAGCGACGTTTGTCGTATGTCACACGCAGTTTTTTCACAAGTGACCTGTTTTTGAGGTGGAAGCGTGTCTTATCTCTGGTAATCGTGTCAGATACTGTTATCAGATGTTCATCCGTCTCTCGATTAGCCATGAATTTATCTAACAAGTCTTTTAGAGAGTCGTGCGTCACGGCCTCCACATTTGCCCCCCTCAGAGTCACACCTTTGCATTTGACTTGTTTGTCCCCTAGGGCCGTCTTGTAGGCATACGATTTAGGCCCTGTTGAGACAAATTCAGTAATGCTGTCTCCATTGCCGAGCTCATCGGTCAAATCACCTAGGAAACCCCTGTGGGTGGGATCCACTCACCACTTTTTGCTGTGAATATGACAGAGTCTGTATCACAATATAGCACTCTGTCTTGAAGCTTGTCCAGAAGCTCATATAACATGAGTCTTCCGTAGGATGTTGTCATGGCCCCGATGAAAATGTTGCAATCTTTTGCACGCGACTGAACTCCATTAGCATAGCGCCACTGTACTATCGCCAATGCATTGGAAATGAAGTGGAATAGAGTGACTTCAAAATGATCAGAAAACATGAGTTGCATAAAACGCGCAGGATCTGTCACCATCTCTGTCTGCCCAAGATTTTAACATTGACAGAATTTACCCCATAAATTAGTTAATAACAATTTGCTACAGCTCCGTCGCGTCTTATTAGGTTTGATGTTGTCACGGTCCAGTAAAATACCTTCACGTTCGTGATATTCATCAATGTATTTCTCCTCATCCTCAGGTGTTTTGACATGGTCAGGATAGCCACTGGCTTCCTGTTTGCTTTTCAAAAACTTTTTGACATAGCCTTTAAACAGTTCATCTGATTTTTCAGCAAAATGCCACACTCCGTGGATTTTCTGTACAATGTAACCCTTTTCCACAGCTTTCAGCACTTCAGAAACAGGCCAGGTCCCTGTGAATTCTCGTTCTGTGGTAGTGTGATCACACTCGTTCATTTGATTCAATTCCGTGGCGCATGTTTTACATAGGATGAAAAACAGTTTGTCATGCATTTTATGCGGGAGCACAGGGTGCAACAGTCCCCTGGGGGGTAGTACCAAGCATTTTACAAAACCAAAATAGGTTTCTAGCGGTCCAAAATCACCGATGATGATTTGCGGGTGACCTATGGGGTATTCTTTGCACGCTTGTACAGACGGATATAGACTTGTGTAATCATAGTAGAGTACTTTTACACCGTTAGACACCTTGTAATATAACTTTATAGCATTTGTTCGACCGCCATAAAGAGCATCACGAGGATTTAAACGCTCAGGACATTTGTAATCTTTGAGAAATTCTTTCACAGAAGCATCTGTTTTAGTTAACTTGTTCCATTCACATTCCCACATCACTACAACATTAACTTTACATTGCTCTTTCAGGTTTTTTATTTTGTCAATGGTCGCAATGTAGAGATCACTAAAAGTCTTTTTAGATAAGTGATTCCACCCACCCTCTGGATAGCACTTGTCATGCCCGTGAATAAAACACCCAAAGAACTTGTAACATGTGTTTATAGAGGGATTATAGCCGTCTACGTGATAGCGACCAATTTTCTTTTCCCCACCTTTAAGAGCATGCTGTATTGTTAACCCTTTGGTTTTACAGAGGTACTCGAGCCATTTGATAGATACGTCAGAGAAACACTTATTGGCCCCATTATAACAGCCGTCATATGTTAGAGCTATAGTGTTTTTCTCTAGGAATAGCGTTTTGTGAACACCCATACAATAACTTGGTAGAGTTACAAACGTGTACGGATCCACCTCTGTCCCCGAGAGTAGCATTTCCCGATAGAGCAGACACCCACGTCTGAGAACAGCTACGTCATTGAGACAATAGCGTTGCATTTCAAATTGTAGGTTGAATTCTGTATGTTTTACACCGTCATACCACTCGTTGAATTTAGCTTTCTGTGCTTGATCCATTTAGTCAACGCCGTAAAAGCTAGGCTCAGGGTAGGGTCCTATATAACACTCATTTTCTTTGGTGTTAAATAGATGAGGGAAATGACCCTTTTCTAGGTCATCAAACCCTAAGGCTTCAGGCATACGTGCTAAACGCATTGGGAGAAAACTGAACGAGTCCAGCCATCTTTGTCTAAGTCGCTTGTCGTACATACAGAGTACTCTCGTACCTCTTACAGTGAGACGTGGGGTTAACCCCTGTCTCGCAAACTCTTCCAGAATTAAGTAGTTGTCAAACGCAGCTGCATTGTGTGCTATGAATGTGTAATCACGAAACTTTGGTGTTCTAAAAT